AATAATTTTTTAGTATAAAAAATTTAATTTTTACACTAAAAAACTGCTTGAAGTAGTAAGAAAGTCGTCCCAAATAAAATCATAATCGCCATATATTATTAGTAGAAAATTTTAAAATTGATTTGAGTAGTTGCAGACTTTAAATATTTTTTTTTTTTTAGATAGAATGATATTTATCTTAATTTTTGATAAAAATTCAACACCAACAAAAATAGTTATTGGAGATCAAAAAAAAATTATGTGCAAAATCTAGGAAGGAAAAAATGAAGGGCCTGACCCAATTGTAAGTTTGTAACAATCCGCTATAAAATACGAGATACAAGAATCATCCTTTTCACATAGTTGAAGAAAATAAAATTATATACAATTGAGAATAATCGTTTGATTTCTCTTGTAGGAATTATAGAAGTTTGGTGTCCACAACGAGACAGTAAAACACAGCGTTAGTATTTAATGTTGATAGAAGTTTAGTGATTGTTGAATAGTTTCTAGTCTTGGCTATGGTTGCTTTCGCTTAGCCTCTCTTGTGTGGGCTGATCTTGGCACTGGTTGAAATCTTGTTGGGTCTTCTCTGCTTTTCGCACTAGTTGCTTCCTTGGGTGGCTCTTCTTTTGATCTTGGCTTTTGTTTTTTGTCTTTTCTTTTGCTTTTTTTTTTTATTAATCAAAATAAAAAAGCGGTTACAACAGCAAAAGGAAGGAAATAAAAACAAAAAAAAAAAAGACAGTCTCTCAAAACAAAAAACCCCGGGAACAAGCAACAAGAAATCCAAAAAACCCCGGGGGCTCAGTAGTCGACCGAGGCTACAAGCAACCTCGAAACCACACAAGGACCATCCAATAGAGGTTGCCACAAGTAGGCGACGAGGAAACGAGCCCCGGCCACATCATTGCCCTGCAACCAACATTCGAACCGAAAAACAATCCGATCAACTGTAAATACCGAATCATCTTCTTCGACCACCTCTTCCCCAAAATTTACCACGGCAATTACCAGAAATAGGTCTATCACGAACCATTTTAAAATCATTTCCAGGATCAGAATCAGAATCAGAATCAGAACCACACTCCGACGAATTGTGCAACCAATCACCATGTGATCTAACATCCACACCAGTCGTACCACCCACCTGAAGCATTAACGAATGGGAAGCAATTTCATTCACGGGAACTTCCACCAACTAATGAGAAACAACCAAATTTCCTTCATCAACCGGACGCTCAGAGAGAACAGAAACCCGAATCGGTTCAACGTGCTCAACTAGCACAGGGCTAGACAAAACACAACAATTATCAATCAAAACACCAGCCTGCACAGCCTCACCACACATCAACTGAGTCGAAGTCATCAGAACCAACCCATAATCCACCACATGATTTACAGAAGAGTTTACAATATCAGTTTCTATCGGATTAGCAGAAATTAACGAAGGATTACCCGGCAAACCCTCCAAACAAGCACTCTCCAAACCAGAGGGTAAGAAAGGCATAGCGTTAGGAGAAAGGTCCTTAGAAACCATTTCAGAAATAGCAACGCAAGCATTAGGAATGACCGTTTCATCCCTAGCTAAAACAGAGTTCACCAAATTAGGCACAATCAATTCATCTTGAATCCCAACATTCGATTCCAGAATAATCGGGGAGACAGTTTTAGCATTATGTTATACAGTTTTGGTTAAAACAGACGAATCTAAAGCAGCATTTTTAGAACGACATTCACCCACTGCATGACCGAAGCAACGACATTCACCACAAAAAATAGGAAATTCCTCCATTACAACATTTTGCACATATCCAAGCTTTTCGGAACCCAACCAAATACGATTAGGATAGGACTTATTGATATCCAGTTCAACTAAAATCCTAGCTACAGACGGTCTAGAACCCAAAGACGTAGCCTAATCAATTTTAAGAGGCTTACCAAAAATGGAAGCCAATCCATGTAGAATTTTAGGGGAAAAAAGATGCGGCTGTAAAGAAGGGAAAGATACCTAGATCGGGATTTCAGAAGATTCAACCCCTATATCAACAGAAGGAGACCATTTCGTAATTTTCATAAAGCAATTGAAAACCAGGTAGGATCTATGACAAAAGACACGGCAATAATCCAGGTCTTGTTCTAATTTGATAAGCACATGAGACGAATCCAGCAAAGTAACCGAAACATCACCATTAAGCTTAAGATTAAAGAAAAATTTTCTAATCGAGTCAAGAGATTGCCGTTTCGTAGGAAAGAATCCAACAAGAGCAAATTGAAAAGGAACATCCAAAGCCAAGATTTCTTCATCCGAAATCCACAGAGAAGGCATACCGCGAAAAGACGACACCTTAATTTTAGGGAAATCATTACAAGAGGAAGATCCCGAAAGAGCTTGAAGAAAAAAACGAGAAGAATTCGAAACCCCTAAAAATCCCGGATCAACCAATTTCGGGGCCATCCAGCGCGCGCCGGAAAGAAAAACACCCACAAAATCTCAGAGAAGAAACAAAAACCAGAAGAAAGTAAACTTCCCTGGAGACAAGCTTTAAACCCCCCACCGGAGACCTGAGAGCGGCACGCCGCCGCGAGGGTGAAAACCCTAGCAGAGCAAAAAAGGGGAAAGTAGTGGTATCATGTCTTTTCTTTTGCTTGATTGTGTATTTAGACTGAATCAAAGGCTTGTATGTTTTGCTTTAAATGTTGTATTTTAGAGGTTTTGGATTATGTTAGGAATTGTATCATTTCTTTTATTCAACCCATAAGGCTCTACAGTGGGTTCTAACCAACAAAAGAAATGGGTGATTGCTAGTGATGATAGCCGAAAAAAATTCAAGAGAATTTTTTAGTTCTATTAACTCTACAATCTCTTTTTTGCAGAGAACAATACCCTATTTATAATCTTTTTAATATAGAAATTTTACTAAATTTGATCAAAATCCAAAGCACTTTCACATATGATCTATATTATTTCCCTCGATCGTAAATTGTTCATAAAACATAAGTGTTTTAACTGTGACAGAATCAAGAGATTTTGGGCTCGATAGATTTGTCTTTGTCGAGTTGCACAACTTGACTATAAGCATACTATAATTGAAGCCCTTTGGACCATCAATTTATGTTCAGAAGTTTTCAAATATAATTTAAGTGTTTGATTTGAGCTTATTTGAAATTAGATTGAATCATTTGTAGCTACTGGATTTGCATTAAGATTAGTGCGTAATATTTTTTGGACAAAGAGTGCGCATTCTCTACGCCGCTTGAGAGGAAAGAACATTCAATGGCGATCTCTGTCATCCTTTGACGGTTCAAACAACAAGCAGACATTAGATAAAATGTTTCTCTCAGCTTAATATAACGCTCGTGCGTAGCTACCAAATACCAAATCCACCATCGTGCCTTCCTACCTCCCTTTCTCTCTCTAAATAATTAAATAAACATATGGGATTTCATGAAATTTTTTATTTTACAAATTTAATGGTTAGGGGCTAAAATTGAAATATGAGTTATTTGGGACCATATTGAGCTAAAAGTCATAATTGGTATATCTTATATGATCATATAATTTCTCGAAGTCGAATATGTTAGGGTATAGTTCTCTCATTGTTTTGTTCTTTAGTTTGCAATCACAATTTCGTTTGACTACTGCTTTGTTGTTGTTTTCTCGTTATTTTTTTGAAAATTTTTGTGATGAAAAGTTGCTTTTTTACAATCGTAGTTGCTCACGTATGGTACGTAGCTTTAAGAAAGCTACTGCACAATTTTTTGAAGAATATTATACTTATAATAATTTAAGAGATTATTTGCTTGTTTGGTTGATTGTACTCCTTTAAGTAGAGGAGACCAGTGACTAGAACTCTAGAAGTCCAACATAAATTCTCGTACTGATGTTGGGAGTCAGAATTAAAGCATGACGGCATGCATTGATATTATTAGCAGTGGTAACTGCAGAAGTTAGTTTGCATTGGTATATCTAGATGACAACGATCAGAAGATTGTATGAAAGACGATTGTATATGCAGGGGTGTCAATTTTCGGGTTCGGGTCGAACCCGAAAATGACCTGGCACTATTCGGGTTCGGGTCGACTTGACCTGTTTTTGCAAACGGGTTGATTTTCTAGACCCGAACTCGACCCACTTCGGGTCAACCTGACCCGACTCGCGGACTGAAGCGGGACGGGGACTGATGCGAGACGCGGACTGACGCGGGACATAAGCTGACGCCGGACGCATGACATGGACTGACGCGGGATGCAGATTGGCGCGAGTGACGCCGGATGCGGGCAGACGCCGGACGCAGGCAAATGCCGGATTGCGGGACGCGGGATGCGGTCTGACGCCGGATGCGGGCATACCCGTTTATGTGTCATTTCGGGTCATTCCTGGGTTCTCGGGTCAACCCGAACCCGACCCGATTTTTCAAACGGGACAGTTTTCTAGACCTGAACCAGACCTGCTTCAGGTTCGGATCAACCAAACCAGAAATTTTTAGGTCAGGTTCGGATCGGGTTCAATATTGACAGCTCGAGTATATGGGCGATGGTCTTCAGCAAATCGAGGCCGGACCACAATTGGGTGACAATGATGAATGGTCAAAGGATATCATAATACGTAGATAGTGTTTGATCTTAGCTCATTTAAACTTAAGTTGGACTACACTCAATATCATTAAGGTCATCTTGTTGTCAAGACACTCCGTTCAACTATAAATCGTTAAAATCAAAGTTTGGATAATCCTAAGTTTAATTTCAAAATTTTATAATTCAAATATGCATCAAAATTTGTGCTCAATTAAGATGACTTTTTTTATGAAATATCAATAAAAAACAAACAAATTCCCATCCTAAAAAATCAACTCCATAACAAAAGATAGAGATCATTCCTATTATAATTTTTTTGCCCAAACATCTGCCATAAGCACGTGGTCTTCAATTAATCAAGCCGTCACTTTTTTTGACTAATCAAAACCTTACCTCCAACTTATATTATTTCATCTATATTCTATCTATAAATACCACTCTTGCATCAAAGAAGAACTCACAAATCTCCTCAGCTCAACAAATTCACAGTTTCTGCACAAAATGGGTTCAGAATCTCATCAACTTCAAGCAGAAATCGACGCCTGCAACTACGCCATAACGCTCTGTAGCTTCTCTGTTCTTCCCATGACTCTCGCTACCGCCATAGAACTCGGCCTGTTCAAGCTTCTCTCTGCTGCTGGTCCTGGAGCTCAGCTTTCCGCTGAAGACTTTGTAGCTAAGCTGGCCAAAGATTCTACAAGCGACCATGCCGCTTCTAAGCTGGAGAGGCTTCTTCGTGTTCTTGCCAGCCACTCTGTCTTCACCTGCTCCACTGCAACAGACTCCCATGGCCGCACTGTTCATCGCTATGGAGCTTCTCCTGTTTGCAAGTACTTCACTCCAAACGAAGATGGAGTCTCTTTAGCCTCTCTTGCTATGATGAGCAATGATTTGGTCACCATTGAAAGCTGGTACTTAAGCAACTCATCATCTTTCAAGCCTGATTATGTTGAGCTTTTCTCTCTTGTCTAATCTTTCAACTTTTTGTTTGAAGGTATCATCTAAAGGATGCAATATTGCATGGGGGAGTGGCCTTTAACAGAGCTCATGGTGGACTGAATGAATTTGAGTACCATGCTACAGATCCAAGATTCAGCAAAGTTTTCAATGAGGGAATGAGAAGCCATTCTATAATAATCATGAAGAACATTCTGAAAATTTATGAGGGATTTGGGGATGTCAATGTGCTTGTTGATGTGTGTGGTGGAACTGGAGGAACACTCAGTATGATCACTGCAAAGCATCCTCATATCAAAGGGATTAACTTTGATCTCCCTCATGTTATTGCTCAAGCACCTCCTTTGCCAGGTAATTAATTTGCTAATCTATTCATTTTTGTTCCTGTTTAAGCTCTTGTAATTGAAACTTTTTTTTATTATTCTATGAGGCTTTAGTCTTAGCTCTTCTGATTGAGCGTATAGCTTGGTTATCTTCATTGATATGATATGTTATATTACTAAGATTTCTTTTGGAATAACTTTTTTACTGCTTTTTAAAGTAGTTTTTTAGTATAAAAATATTTGTGTTAGAAAGCTATTTTAAAATGCAGTAAAAAAGTTGTCTCAAATGAAGCCTAAGGGGTTGTTTGGTAGCATCCCGGATTTGATTTATGTACAATTTCGTAAATCCTCTAAATCCGGATTTTGAAAATCCTGAGAGGCTTAAATCCTGAAAAATGTTTGGTAACATTCATGATAAATCCTCTTAAATCTCATGCGACTGTTTGGCTATAGAGCAGGATTTACCGAGCGGATTCTTCCTCTAGTGCCATGCATTTCATAAATACATCAAAATACAGGATTTAGGAAATCCGGGATTTAGAGCAAATCGGTGGAATTTTGTTTTCCGCGAGATTTGGTTTTTTATTTTAGGCCGTGTGGCTGGATTTCGCTCAAATCCGCCTCAAATCCAGCCTAAATCCTGCTACCAAATAGCCCCTAAGTGTTTGAAAGCATTATTTTAATGGCTTTTTTTCTTCTTTTTTTGAAAGTGAGTTTTATTTTATTGATGTAGGAGTGGAGCATGTTGGAGGAGATGTGTTTGAAAGCATTCCCAGTGGAGATGCTTTGTTCTTGAAGGTGAGTTAGAGAATTAATTCATATGAAAACTCAAAATATTATTTATAAAGCTCTAAAAAGAAGGATAAATGAATGATTTTGATGATTAATTACCTGTAAGCAGTGGGTTCTCCATGACTGGAATGATGAAGACAGCTTGAGAATTCTGAAGAATTGCTGGAAAGCAGTTTCAGAGAATGGAAAGCTGATAATTGTAGATTCCATTCTGCCTGAAAGTCCAAACTCCACAGCTGCGACACATTGTATCTTGCATGCCGACATGTTTATGCTTCTGGAGAGCCCAAGTGGAAGAGAGAGGACAGAGAAAGAGTTCAGAGCTTTGGCCAAACAGTCTGGATTTTCTGGATTCAAAGTTCTCTGCAACTTCTCCAATGCTTGGATAATGGAGTTTAGCAAATAGTTAAGACATAAAGATAGTATGGTTGTTGAGTTTCTTCAAGTGGTTTTTTATTTTGGATTTTGTTGATGTTCCTCTTAAGCTATATATGCTATGAAATAAGAAAATTCAAGATGTTTTGTGATGACATAGTTTTATTTTGTTCAAAGAGATGTTAGATTATATAGAGGTTAAGGAAAATATGTACTTGTGCATATTCATGTGGGTATTTCATTGGTATCTAAGAGCATCTCCAACCGAACGCCAAACGAACGTATGGTGTCATTCGGTTGCTCTAGCCGAATCTTCCGCCATTTACTTGCGGGTGAACAGTGCCACGACAATATTGGCATGGCACTGTTCACCTACGCTATTTTGCTCTCTCAACTGAAAAAACACGCGAAAGGGAGAAGGGCGTTCGATTGGAGCAGCACCACGGCATTTTGGAGTTTTGTTGTATTTTGCCGTGAAAAATAGAGTTCTCCGTTGGAGATGCCCTAAAGGTTTTTATTGGAGAAATCAGCCTACTTGACATGAGGAGATTCATTATTCGGTTCTAAATGGAGATGTTGGAAGTGAAAGATTTGAAACCCGCAATCGTGCAAACTATCTTGACGCATTTTTTTATCTTAATAATATCGATAAATAAAATTACCATGAAGTATGATTCCACCATACTACATTGTAATATTTGCAGCATTCTACATGAAACTTGTTCTTCCAAATTATTTGGAGATTTTGATTCAAAATTTCGAAGGCATGAAAGCTACCTTCTCAAAGATAAATATTTCTAAAAATAAAAAATTCTAGCTGTGCTACTCAAGCCATATTATTAGAAATATTAAATATTAATTTATAAAGTATATATATATATATGACTGAAAAGAAGTTAGAAAAAATCTTTAAGGAAAAAAACTTTATATTCCCTAAATATTTAACTTCAAAGGGATTTACACTCACATCACACAACTTTTATATATTTACATATTCAACATTTAAATTTTAATATTTTAATATAATATTTAAACATCTCAATTACATGAAAATATTTCACTTAAAAATAATATTTCTAATATATTTACATAATTTAAAATTTAAAATATTATGTATATATGCAAAATCCCCCCTAAATTTTGAAGATATTTAATTGAGCCCTCTCCAATTGTTGCAGATGACGGTGCTTGAAAACTGCTGTACTGAATTTTGAGTCAAAGCATCATAAAAATCAAATTTATCCACAAAAAAAAAAGACTTCTCATTAATATTAAAAGTAGTCTTCAAATAACAATTAATTATGCCGTCGCCATTTTTGACTATTTAAAACCAAAATTTCACTTTAAGATTACGAACAAATCAAATCTCCTCAGCTTGTGCGGTCACCTGATGGTGTCCGAAGACGAATGGGAGCGCGTCATGTCACTTTTTTGCAGTGTACCGGTGCTGTGCACTGCTGTGTACCGGGTGACATGATGCGCTCTGATTCATCTCCAGATGATTCAGAATGACTGCACAGAATAATTTCCCCCCTCTCCACATAAATGGCGTTCAGAATCTCATCAAATTTAGGCTTGCAACAAAAATACATGAGAGTAAAATTTTAGCGAATGCTTACAACAAAATGACTTAACTAATTTGTAATTAAGAATCTCCACATAATATTTTATATGGAGGAGAACAGACTACCTTGTGAACTTGTAGGGATTCCTAGCTATAGATTTTGGTGGTTTATTTTAGTCATTATTAAAAATATTTTTTATATGATGAACATAGCCTCTCTCACAATCAAATTTCATATGGATAACTAAGAAGTATTTTGAGATAAGGGTTTGTTGGAGCTAAGTAAATTCCCCCTCTCCACATAATGGCTTCTCTCACCTCATTTAAAAACCAGAGAAGCTAAAAAAAGACCCTGTATTTGAATTACTTAGGCTTCATTTGAGGCGACTTTCTTACTGCTTCTTAAAGCAGCTTTTTTAAAATTTTGAACTAAAAAGCTGCTTTAAAAAGCAGTAAAAAACCCGTCCCAAATGAAGCCTTAGTCATAAGATAAATAGCACGCCCTCTGTATCTTCACTGGTAAAGATATAATACTCCAGTTTAGTCCTTTTTAAGAGCTAAATGTAATCAACAGTAGAGAATTATAACTAAAAGACTAACAACTTTCAGATTCAAACCAGTCATTGGGTGGGTTAGCCAAATAACAAAATGTATTTGGACTCAAGAACAAACAAGTCATTACAGGAGTAATAGCAACTGAGGAATCAAACCGTTTAAGTCTGGAGGCCATATATATCAAAGAGTCCAGCCCTGCATGAAATTGTTCTGAGCTCCAACGTTCCTTGGAATAGTTGCTTCAGATGATTCATAGTGAGGGTACCTGACGAACAGAAGTGTGTTAATTTATAAATGGCACAAAAATAAGGGATAGCTGGAAGTAATTACTTAGTAAGAGTTTTCAACCTTTCCAAAACTATATGGTGGTGCAACATAAAATCAAAGAGGAGATGCTTGCTGCCAAGGGAGATGTCCAAAATCTTCTTATTTGCAGAGGTCAAATATTTTGGGAATAGGTTTATAACTTAATTCATATCACCAAGAAAGGCGTCGTTGTTCTGCTCCATCAGATCCGCCATGAAGATTCCTCCTCCGCCTTCAAGCCCTCCGTCGATCCCACAAACTTCCACTCCAAGCCCGGCCCACGTGCGATCGCCTGCGACTGCTCACTCCACACGCTCCCGCACCCGCACAACTCTCGCAACCACACAGCTCCTGATCACTGCGCCGGCCTCCAGCGTGCATGTAGGGGTGTCAATTCGGGTCAACGGGTCGGGTTCGGGTCGAACCCGAAACTGACCCGGCACTGTTCGGGTCAACCCGAACCCGACCCGTTTTTAAAAACGGGTCAGGTTTCTGGACCCGAACCCGACCCGATTCGGGTCCGGGTCAACCCGACCCGACCCGAATGACCCGGAATTGACCCAAAATTGCTAATTTTCGGGTCAAAAATCGGGTCAATCTCGGGTTTTCGGGTCAAAATCGGGTCAAAAACAGGTCAATCTCGGGTTTTCGGGTCAAAAATGAGTTTTCGTGTCACTTTCGGGTCAATTTCGGGTTGGCGGGTCAACCCGAACCCGACCCGATTTTTAAAACGGGTTGATTTCATGAACCCGAACCCGACCCGTTTCGGGTTTGGGTTGACCCGAACCCGGATTTTTCCGGGTCGGGTTCGGGTCGTGTTTCGTGTCGTGTCAAAAATTGACACCCCTACGTGCATGTCTCCATGCTAAGAACTTTCCTCCTTGTTTCGCCCGATCAGCTCCACCAGGCCCTGATACCACTTGTTAGACCATTTTTTGGAGGAAGATCGATCTTGAACTTCTTGGGAGAGAGAGGCGAGGAAGAAAGAGATAACATATTTTAAGAGGAAAACTATCTAAAGTTTTATTTTATTTTCCCCAATCTTTACATAAACCTATACCATCTATATATAGGTATTGAAAATTGGTGTGGTGTATTGCATAGCAACCTAATCTAAAACTGGGCCAATTCTGACTAATAGTACTTGTAGAAATTTAGGAAAAGCCTTGGCTGAAATCTAATTTCAGTAATTTCAGAAAAACCAACAACAAGAAAATTAAGAATATAACACACAAAAACACTTTTTTAATGAAAATTTTATGAAAGAAAATACAAGACACAAGTGGATCCTCAATTGGAGAGGAAGATTCGGCTCTCCCAAATCTCTAGCGCTGCTAGAGCCCAAAACCTAAGAGATCTCAAATTTCAGCCAAATTCTAGATGTCCTAACCCTTGAAAAAAAAATACTATTTAATACATAAAATTTAAAAGGAAATATCTAACCAACCCCTATTGTGAAATTTCCCTACTAAATCCCTTCAAAAACCTTCCTAAATAGCTAAGTCGGACCTAGGCAGTCAGAACGTGCATACAGGAGGCGGAGAAGTTCCACTTGTTTCGCACGATTCGGTCACGTAGGACCGGCTGGACCGGTCTAAAAATACTCCCCTCCCAAAGACCCACATTGTCCTCAAGGTGGAAAGATGGCATCCTCCATTCCATCTTCATCACAAACGGTAAGAATCTGAAGAGTTTGGTCCTTATACCTGTATCCCGGCGTATACCTCTCGTCACATCTTAAACAGAGCCCCTTCACCCTTTTCTCCTATAATTTCATTTATGTGAGCTTCTTGGAGTTGTCCCCATGCCTTCCTCTTACTACAGTCTTCACTTTCAAAGTCTTCCTAAAAGAATCCGATGTTGGCTCCGTGGGTGCCAAAAAGATGGTGATCATCCTATATGAGCCTCCTGAGCTGCTACCTCCCATTCCTCTCTCCAAGTGCCTCTGATCCTCCACCAACTGAGCTAGCTCCATAGACTCTCCTAAGTCACGAGGCTACATCACTATAATCGTTGCGCAGATCTTTGGTTTCAGTCCCTTCATAAAGTTCTCCTCCAATATAGTCTCTGGAAACCAATCCAGTCGACTAGCAAGTTACTCGAATTGCTCACGGTACTCCATTGTCCTCTCCTGCATCAAAGCGAAGAACTGCTCATAGAAGTCCCCTCCTCCGCTAGTTTGGAAACATTCCAACAAGCAATACTTAAACTCCCTCCAGGTCCTTATCGGTTGCCTCGTATCTCTCCACTGGTACCATGATAAAGCTTTCCCTTCCAAGCACATCCCGATTGCCGTCAATCTCTCCCCCTCCGTCAACATGTTGACGGTAAAGTACCTTTTCACCTTGTAGATCGACTCATTGGGACCCTCTCCCTCAAAAATAGGCATCTTCAGCTTCCTCATCATCAGATCGCCTCCATTCCCTTCATAATTTCCCCTTTCCCAAGGGGGAGGTTCCCCTCAAGTGTCCTAATCATCCCTTATACATTCATATCCAAGCATTTCATTAAATTTCCACATTCTCCTTTCAAATTCAGCCCCCTTGGATCATAACAAACCCCTCCCCTTTCAAATCCATCCCCCTCCCCCTCAAACATATTGACGGTAAAGTACCTTTCCACCTTGTAGATCCACTCATAGGCATCCTCTCCCTCAAAAATAGGCATCTTCAGCTTCCTCACCATCAAATCACCTCCATTCCCTCTGTTCCCTTCATAATTTCCCCTTTCCCAAGAGGGAGGTTCCCCCCAAGTGTCCTAATTATCTTTTCTACGTTCATATCCAAGCATTTCATTAAATTCTCACATTCTCCTTTCAAATTCAACCCTCCTTGGATCATAACAAACCCCTCCCCTTTCAAATTCATCCCCCTGGTTATAATTATCACTTTCCCTTTCAAATCCCCCGCCCCTCTCATCTACAAAGCACATCTTCATTCTTGCCCTACCTCCTCATGCCTCTCCCCATACCCTCTACCCGACTCCTCCCTAGTAATAGTATATAGGAGAAGTATTATATCTTCTTTCTTTCAAGTCTCCAACTCCTGATCTTTCCTTTGCCTTATTGAATTAGAGTTTTCCCCGCATACTAGGTTGTTGGAGGCGTCCCTCTCCTCTGACGATGCCGTTTTGGATTGGCCCTCGAGCAACTCCTTCAACATCTCCCCCAAGTAGGAAAAAATCTCATACATCTTCTCGTAGGTGGCTAAAATTTGATTTTTGACATCTAAAAGTTGAGTGTGGAGATCTGAAATTTTAATTTTCAATTATCTGATCTCCCATTCAAACACTTCTACCTCTCTTCCTGCCATGGGAACTTGGATTAAGCTCCAATAGCAAAGAGCAACAAATTTGAGAAGAATTCTGGCCTCCAATCAGCAAAAACAATAAGATAAGATCGGATACAGAACGCAGCAAAATTCAGTGAGGAAGGCTTCTATTTCAGCCCAGGAAATTGCTTTGATACCAATTTGATAGGTAGTGCTTGTAGAAACTTAAGAAAAGCCTTGGCAGAAATCTAATTTCAGTAATTTCATAAAACCAACGACAAGAAAATCAGGAATAAAACACACAAACACTTTGTTATTGAAAGTTTTCAATTGGAGAAGAAGATCCTGCTCTCCCAAATCTTTAGATGCCGCTAGAGCCCAAAACCTAAGAGATCTCAAATTTCAATCAAATTCAAGATGTCCAAACCCTAGTATAACATACTACTTAATACATAAAATTCAAAAGAAAATCTCTAAACAGCCCCTACTTTGAAATTTCCCTCCCAACTCCCTTCAAAAATCTTCCTAAATAGCTCTGTTAGACCTGGATAGTCAGATCGTGCATATAGGAGGCGGGAGAAGTTCCGCCTGTTTCACACGATCTGGTCCCGTAGGACCGGCTAACCGGTCTAACAAATTCCTAACAATAAGCATAGGAAAATAACTTTTAATCTGAGAACTAATCTAGTTATATGCCAGAAAATCTACTTTGGAGGTAATTATTTTATAACAATAAGCCCTGAAAAAGTATATAAAAAAACAAAATGGTTTACATATAACTTTAATGATATCAATAAGTTAAATAATTGTGTAAAGCATGAATAAATTAGGTGAGCATTGGAAATATGTTCTTACCCAATTTGAAGTGTGGGTTCAGTGTCCATGACAATGGGATGAGTAGGATGATCAGGTAAAGCACCAGTTGCGACTACAGCATCAGGCCTCCAGGATCTGTGGATTGATCTCATAGGTTTATATTCTGCCGCGAGCTGCAGTTCAAGGATAGTTAGATTATACACAATATGCTGATGATTAAAATAAGAACTTGAATAGAAATTTCAGTGCTTCGCAAGTCTACTTCTAACATCACCAACATTACACTTCTGACAACATAACCTAAAAACATGCAATTTCTATTAAAGCATGATACAAGTAACAAAATAGAATTAGTCCAGTTTGAGAATTAAGAGTAAATTTGAGAATTTCTTCAGAAAATGTGTTCTAAATATTTCCAGCTTTCTTCATAAAGGCGTTTTCTTAAGGAACTGATAAAATCACTATAGATGCCAAAAGACTTGCATTGATAAGGAGAAGCAGCAGCAAATGTGTTCACCTTATTTTAGACCACAAAACAACTGTGCAAAGTGATCATTAGCGAATGTATTATTTGAAATAAGTAAATAAAATTTTATTAGTGATGCTAGAGCATGTGCAAACCGCACTTTTTTTTCCCTCAATAATATAGAAGTTTCATTGATTAAAAGAGATAATACTCCAAAAGGCACCTAATGTTTCTGCTTACATGATAGGAATCAAAAAATAAAAATTACAAAAACTAGTGTAGTGTATTTGTACGGTTTTAGATTAGGCTGTTCTTGCAAGATACCACACCATGTATATATCCCTATAAATAGGTTATACGTTGATGTATTGAGTCAACCCCTGTAAGCTCCAAGATGAATTAATAAATCCCATCCCTCTCCCTTTCCCTGCCTCTCTCTCCCTCGCTCTTGCATTCAAGAATTCCTCCAAGTTTTAACAATTAGTCATCAGATCCACGAAGCTATAGAAAAAACATCATCTGAAAGAGAAGTAGAACAAGGAGCTTAGTGAGTAGCCAACAATAAAAGAGCCTTTAGAATGAGGTATTGGCATCCTTCATAAGCACGATGCACCTTCCAATTAAACTTTTGTAGTTGTAAACATCATGAGTTGAAGACCTAATAAATCTAAACATTTTAATTTATATCTATTTAACACTACCGTTGTCAGGTCTCAAGTCCTGGATGAGAAAAGCGGAGGGTTGCGCTAGGTAGTTGACAGCCAGCGTAAAACTTATCGAAAAGACACAATGGAGAAAAATGATTCATGTAGCCGACCCCACATAGTGGGATAAAGGCTTGATGTTGTTGTTGTTGTTGTGAACCTTACAAAAAAATAAAATTAAAAAAAAAAAAAAATCTATTTGTGAACCCATTGCTTTCTTAGAGGAAAAACTCTATAAGAAGCATACATCACAGAAGAATAGTCCTCATCTGATCTTATCAAGATAAGACTTCTTACTCATCCCCATATCTGAACAACAAGAATTTGAAGTTCGAAGCTCAACTAGTTGAACAGCAGGGGGAGAGGAGAGGACTCGTGAGTGGAAAGAACAATCCCAAGGGTAAAATATACACCAAAAAAGGTTTCCCAGGAAACATCTCTCCGTTCGGGTTCAACAATTTGAGGGAACTAGGGTAGGCTCCATGTCAATATGATTAGCAAGCGTATCATTTCCTGAATGTTGGGAAGACTTAGAGATTGTTATGAAGGTCGCAGAGTTGAAAACTAGAGCGTTAGAAGAAATTGCAGGCTTTCAGTAGACTCTTATTATCTGGTGATGGCTATGGACAAGAATCGTTTGGTTTGATTTGTCCTGTTGAAGAGCAGTGGAGAGGTGTGCCAATTCAATTGGAAGGAAACTTGATTAGTTGGCTAATAACATCAACAATTTGAGTTTTTTCCTTGCTAATATTGCGAGCTTGATCTTTACAATTGGCAGATCTTTTTAAGTTCTGGATGAAGAATGAAGCAATATGTATTTGAGTGATCATAAATTTCACAATTTACACTGGCGAAGGATTGTGGGACCCACAAGTCAACTAATCGTGATAGTGATCTTTGAGTACATAGATTAAGGATTCTAACCATTTGATCAATTCTCTTATAGCCCTTAAATTGCAATCCATGTGCCTCTTCTTATTCTAGCCGTTACCTCCATCTGAGAAATTTTTTTTCCTTTTTTTATAAGTAATTTTGATTTATTTTTATTGTTGGCTTTTTGAAAAAAAGTCTATAAATCATTTCATATATTATACAGAATCAAGCAATACAACTTGAAGTTGTTTTATCTACTTTTCTACATAGTATCAAAAAGAGATTAGGATTTTCATTTTAAAACTTCTGTTTTTTTTTTTTCTCTTTTTCTTGTTTCTGATTTATTTGACTTCTCTTTGAAGGAATCAACTATCATGAATGGTGAACTCCAAGGGATATAAACGTTGCAGATGAATGTTTTTAATGGTGGATAACGGTAAAAACTTTGGAAAAGATAGTAATGATTTCAAGACATAAGTTTAACAATGCAAAAGTTCATTTTAAATTGATTACACATAAGTTTAACAATACACTTACTTTTTTCTTTAGCTCTTCCATCTGGTTCAGCATTATCTCTGTCTGCATTTTAATCAAATAAGAAAAAAAAATTAGACATTGATTTCTAATGATTAAGATTGAATTATATGATAAAAATCAAGCCAAGAGAATTCAGTCAGCTATGATGTTCCAGAAAGCGAGGAATTTTATCTAAAAAGTACAAGATGAACCATAATCAAGAATAAAAACTAACATTAGATTTGGGAAATTTTGACCACTGAGCATAAATATTTTGTAGCCGAATCAGCAAAAGGTAAAATGGATGACTTCAAACATATTTGAGAATTCTATTAAGGTATTAAAATTTTTACACATGCACTTATGATGTGATTTCCCAATATATAAAAAAATTCATGTAATCAAAATCCTTTCGAAGATTGTGGTAGCTTTCTGTGAAATGAATTTTGAGCGTTTTCAAGGAATAGAGTTTTTCTGCCCATAACAAAGTTTAAAAATACATGAAGAGTATAGATGCCCAAAGTTACATTTTATGATGCAATATGCAAATATATTATAAGAGAAGAATAAGAATTTATATAAGAACAATAGCCTCTAAAGTTAAAACTGAGTAGTTAAATAGAGAAGTGCCTAAGAAGTTATATATGATAAGAAAATATACTGAAAATTAGATAATATGACATGAATCCAAGTGTTGGAAAACAAAAAATTTACTAATAACCAAATTGAGTGATAAAGGACAAAATGGGAATGCATGAGTAAAAAATGAAATAATGGCAAGAAGCCTAACATAATTTGCTGCTCATCTTATCTAGCTTTTGAATCCATATTATCTAATTAAGCCCATACAAAACACCAGAACGCCATACTTCATTATAGATTTGAATATTTAGCAACAATGATGAAAATAATTCAATCACAGAATCACCAAATGAAATTACAAAAACATTTATCAAATACATTTTAATGGTACCAAATGATCTTAATATAATGACATATAGTATCATTTAAATACCCTTCTTTGCCTGCCTAGTGACAGTGCTGATTCTAGTTGCTGCTCCAAGTGCTCCAAATCCTTCAAAGTAAGTGCATCTAGATCTTCCCCGAGCAGATGCCTTCGTAAAAAGTTTTAATTAGTATCTCACGCATGCAGTTATGAGTTCCTTACGCCCTTATAAAAATTTACCCATATTTACTGAAAAGAGCACTGAAGGTACATGACTAATAAAGAAAAAGAACCTCTGGGATTGCTGCAGTGATTCATATTTTGCCTTTAACTTCGACAATTCCATAAACCACTTCTGCATTTGTGCAAAGACCAAAACTTTTGTCAGAATTCCAATTCACCGAAGCAAACAAAACTAAGCAAATCAAACCTGAATAAAAGTTCAAGAATAGTGTAAAATTGAGGTGTGAATCTTCCAGAAAATAGAAGTGTTAAAATGGTTGCTCTCTATGATTTGCAAGATTTCACACATTATCCCTATTACTCTGGTCCATGAATAATAAAATATAAATGGCTATAACATCCACTAAAGTTACTACATTTTACATAACATTTCTATATTGTATGTCATGAAAACTTGTAGCATTGGCCCACAAACTCCTTAAGGAAAAAAAATAAATAAATAAAAATAAAATGTTGAAATTTTGTTAGTTTTTGTGAATATAAGGTTTGAGAAGTGAAAAAACTAAAATTAAAATTACAAATAATGTGTTAGCCAATAATACAAAATAGGAACGAACTGCGCATGACACACCCGACATACGGTTAAAAGCCAGCCTGGACTGTACGGACTGTACAAACTTAAATGATGTAACGTAGTATATATTGTATAAATAGATGTCATTGGTCAGGAAATAAGGAAAGAAAACACTTTCTCCTTTCTCTGGTTTTTCTGTATGTTCTCTGTTATATGTATTCACCAGTTAACATGGTATCAGAGCACAATTGATGAGGACATCGTCAGTGATTTCGACATGTGTACCATCGGAGACAACGGAGATCGACGGCCACGATCAGGAGTTTATATTTTGAGTCATTTTATGTAGTAGTTTATTTTATTTTTCAGTTTTTACTATTTTACCCTTATGGATGGTCATTTGATATTGTAGCCCCGAGGGCATTTATGTCTTTTAATTTTTGTTTCATTTTGGCCTATTTATAGGAAGCCTCATGCATTGTACTAGATGATGAATTATTGAATGAAAAGTTTATTCTACTTGGTGATCTCTTAGTGAGTTCATGAGAGGAGAAAGATCTCTTTGTGAGTTCTAAGTTTTTCCAAGATTTCTTTGTGAGATTTGGGGTGGAAGTACTTGAGGTGAGTAAATCCCTAGCTCTTCAAATTTCTATTCTTTTCTCCTTGAAGTGATCTTCCCCTCCCCATAAGCCCCTTGCCGCCACCCCCCATTGGGCCGTCCAAGCCGCCTGCCCCATCCGCCGGCCACCCACCGCCGGCCTCCCTCCCCATCTCCCTTTCCCCACCTCTTTAACCGCCATCCTCCCTCCTTGGGATTTCAAATTTTCCCAAGCAACATTGAAGACTTTCCTAAAATAACTCCATGATTTTAGGCAATCCTCTTAATTGAATTTCAATTCAAATTTGAAATTCAAATAAATTCCAATTAATTGTCTTAGATTATGAAACTTCCCCTTAAAAGAAAATATGAAATTTAATTCAGATTTTTCTTAAAAGCTTTGATTAGTATGTGGGCCCTATTTAATTAAAATCCAAACATCTCTCTCCAATGCATGTGGTCGCCCCCCCCCCCCCCCCCCCCCCCCAAACCCCCAAAAAAAAAGAAAAAAAGCCAAACGTTGGGACGGCTTTCTTATTGCTCCTTAAAGCGGCTTATCTTCAAATAAATTCCAATTAATTGCCTTAGATTATGAAACTTCCCCTTAAAAGAAAATATGAAATTTAATTCAAATTTTTCTTAAAAGCTTTGATTAGAATGTGAGCCCCATTTAATTAAAATCCAAACCTCTCTCTCCAATGCATGTGGCCAGCCCCCCCTTCCTTGAGCTTCTCTCTTTCATATTACATTAATTTCTCCTCTTTAACTCCCCTTAATCCCACCCAAAACCGCCAGCCCTATTATGGCATTAAATGCATTTTCAATTTAATTCCCCCCATCACCACATGATATTTGAATTTCAAATCAAATATTTTTCCCACCAATTTCCCTTAAGTTGAAATTAATTTCAGTTTTTCTTTTCCTTGATTCCACCCCACATCTAATTAGACTTAGCCTTCACGGCTACCTCCTCCCTTCCCCTCTAGCTCACGGCCAAGACCTCCTCTCCCTCTTGCCTCCACCGGTGTTCCATCTTTTCTTGGCAAGAATGCATGGCGGATCCGGAGCGTGATCACGGCTTTGCATACGATCATCAAGGCGACATCGACGTCATCCGATCGCTGTTCTTTGACGTCTGATTCGGCTTCGACCACACCGTCGAGGATTACTTGAACCGTATTCTTCCCACCCTGGTGGACGTCATCGACAAGCAACTTCCGGCCGACGATTGGATCATCAACGGGCATCCACCATCTTCCCCAAATCCGGCTTGTTCCCCGGTGATTAGTCCTCTCGGCATCACTTGTGCGATAGTGGCATCTTTAAGCGTGCTTGCAATCCTCCTCCGCTAACCTCCACTTTCGAGAGATTGAGCGAAGGACCACGAGGTGAAGGATCTAGATTTTAAATGTGAGGCTTTGTTATAGTTGGCTATTTGCATTACCTAAATTTTTTGTTATTATTTTGCAAGTTCTAGTAATCTCATAGTGTAATATATTGCTTTTGCTTAATCTCTCATGTCATCTTCTTAAACTCTCATTTGAGTAAACTAAGAGTTTGTTGGTAGCAAAGCAACATTTATCACTTCTATTAATATCTTAATTGCAATTCTTGTCTTTCGCATTTAGTTCCACATGAACAATTGATCTTCTTTTTTCTTGTTCTCTTTTCTTCGTATCCTCTCATGGCTGGATCCACCTCCTCCCCACCATTTATTGATAGCATTTCTTCTATCAACTCAACTCAGTTCAAATCCCTCAACAACTAAAATTCTTAATTAGCAATATCAAAAATCTTGTGTCGTCATCGTTAACTTCCGACAACTTCCCTGTATGGTGATCTCAGGTTGAAAAGGCCTTCGCGGCAAAAGGATTCAAGGGATTTCTTGATGGATCGAGTCCATGTCCGTCACAACAAGCTTCTAACTCCAGTGGTGCTCAATTGCCACATGATAATTGGGTTCTTATTGATCAGAATCTTGCTGCGGCACTACTGCAGTTATTTCTAATTCCATATTGCCATATGTCCTCTCTTTAGCCCATTGTGCTGACATTTGGGCTACTCTCACCCACTGTCTTCAAGCGTCGACAAAATCACTCATCATGCAACTGAAAATGAGCTTCACTTTCTCTCAAAAGGAGATCAAACCATGACTCGGTACCTACTTCTTGTGAAATCCAAAGTCGATGCGATTGCCACTGCGAAATATCAAGTTTGATTCGAAAGATGTCATACTGTACACATTAAATAGGTTGCCAGCGACCTATCAGGCATTTAAGACTGTCATTCGCACAAGCCGTGAACCTTTAAGTCTTGATGAGCTTTATACTCCTCTATGCAGTGAAGAACTAACTCTCGCTCAAGAAGCAGCTCGAGATCTGCAGTCACTGTGAATTTCGGATAAAAGCATGGCGTTAGACGCACCTCGAGGGCGAGGTCGTGGTCGCTACAGCAACAATCGCGGACGCTCTCCGAATAACAGCAATCCTCGAAATCCTACGGGACGAGGAGACAAATCATCAAACCGAAATATTGTTTGTCAAATTTGCACAAAATAGGGTCATTCTGCTCTTAAATGATGGTACAGACATGATACTACGTATCAAGAAACATTATCTAAATCTACTCTCTTTAGCCCGACAAATGAAAATCAATCAAATGACTGGTACTTAGACAGTGGTGTGTCAATGCATCTCACTGCGGATTCTTCTCATTTCAGTTCAGCTGAACCTTATACGAGAAACTCACAAGTTATGCTAGGAAATGACCAGCAATTACCTATTCAAAATACCGGTAAAGGCCTACACCCAACACCCACATGTAATCTCAAATTAAACCATATTCATCATGTTCCAAATCTATCATTCAATTTGTTATCTGTGCATCAACTAACACGAGACAATGATTGCAAGGTATCTTTTTTCTTCCTCTGGCAACCAAATCAAGGACTCGCGGACTCAACGTCTTTTTGTTTCAGGGACCTAGTCACAATGGTATTTACTCCATCAATCCATCTCACACCGCTTATTGGTTAGCTCTATCCTCGGCTCAGACTATTCCAAATTTATGGCACAGTCGTCTCGGTCATCCTCACTCTCACAAATTCAAAATACTAGCTAATCTTTATCATAATATATGTACCACCTTACCTACTCAACATTGTAATACCTGTAATCTCGCCAAAAGTAGGCGATTACATTTTTCTGCTTCGGTTTCATATACCACCTCTATATTTGAGCTTATACACTCAGATGTATGGGGACCTTCACCTTCTACTTTGATTCATGGCTACCGTTGTTATGTGTCATTCATTGATGACTACACTAGATTTTGTTGGGTGTTTCCTTTACATCAAAAATCTGAGATTGTTCATAAATTCATTGAGTTTCATAATTGGATTAAATGTCAATTCAACAAAGGTATTAAAATCATTAGAATAGATGGAGGTGGTGAATACATCAATCATCACTTTTAACATGTATGCAAATAGTGGGGAATCATATATCAATATACTTGTCCTTATACACCGGCTCAAAATGGTGTAGTTGAACGCAAGCATAGGCATATACTGAAAACAACTCGCAGCCTTCTTATTCATGCTCAAGCTCCGCCCGAGTTATGGGTTGAAGCTCTTCAAACGGCTGTTCATCTTATTAACATTCTCCAAGTTCCCAAACTTCACAACAAAACTACCTATGGAACTCTTTACAACAAATCACCGACTTATGATCATCTAAAGACTTTTGGATGCTTGTGCTACCCATGGCTTAGGCCCTACACCAAATCCAAACTAACATCCCTATCGATACCTTGTGTATTTGTTGGCTATGCCGGTTCTCATAAAGGATATTACTGCCTCGATCCTATCAATCACAAAATATACACATCAAGACATGTTGTGTTCAATGAAAAAGAATTTCCTTATCGCAAACAATCCATCCCAGCAAATGCTTCATCCTCACCAACTAATTTGCCTCCTCTACTATTGGTTCTGTCTTCAGCTATGATCAAAACTGCTCCTCCACAGCCACATTCCTATCCTAAAGCTCCACAAAATTCTCACCAAATAATACCAACTGCTACCATATCACATTCCCCTTAAGCTAGCTAGCCTGAAATTCCTTTGACCGCATCACAGATAGAACATGTCCCCACCAAGTCTCAGATGCAGTCCATACATCCCATGAAAACTCGCTACCAAACCGGTCATCTCAAGCCCAAACAAATTTTAAATCTTACTCACCAAATAGTTTCCCAAGATCCTACATCTTATACCCAAGCTTTCAAACACAAACATTGGCGCCTCGCCATGTCAGGAGAGTTTCAAGCCCTTCAATTACAGGCCACGTGGGATCTTGTCCCACGTTGCCCAAGTCAAAATTTACTTGGCTGCAAATGGATGTTTCGCACAAAATACAACTCAGATGGATCTATAGCCAGATATAAGGCTCGTTTGGTAGCACTGGGCTACAAACAGGAATTTGGATTGGATTACAACGAGACATTTAGTCCCGTTGCAAAAATACCAACGGTGCGAGTTCTCATTGTCTTTGTTCTTCATTACAAATGGCATATACATCAATTAGATGTATCAAATGCATTCTTGCATGGCAAACTAATAGATCAAGTCTATATGAAGTAGCCGCCGGGATTTCTAGATGCCATTCACCCGAATTATGTGTGTAAACTCAAGAAGGCCCTATACGGCTTAAAGCAATCCCCTCGCCAATGATTTGATACGTTATCAGAATTTTTACACACACTAGGATTTCATACAATTGCGCATGACACACAGCACATATGGTTAAAAGCTAACCTAGACTGTACAGATTGTACAAACTTAAATGATGTACCGTAGTATCTTTTGTATAAATAGATGTCATTGGTCAGGAAATAAGGCAAGAAAACACTTTCTCCTTTCTCTGGTTTTTTTCTGTATGTTCTTATCTGTATTCACCAATTAACATAATGAAGTGATGAGGGAGTAAACGCAGAATGAATGAGAACTAATGGAAAAATAAAAAATATTTTTGCATTAATCTTATGAACCCGGTACGAATCCCCTTCTTGAGTGATCATTTTCGTCAGTAACCAATTTGAACGACCCATGGCTATTGATTTCTAAGCTATCTAGTATCTACCAAGGCCATCAAATGAAAAATATTAAGAATTATCAAATAATTCTGCAGAATTTTCCAATTAGGGTTTGCTTGGCTTCATAAATTTTGGCAATGAAAGATAGTTTTTAATAATCAGATATGCTTAGAGTTGTTCACAATTTAAAAAAAAAAAATTGGAGCAATTAAAAAAAATTATTTTCTTCTCCAGCAAAAGCTACCCCAAACGAATCCAAAGCTAATCTTGATTAAAAAAAAAGAAATTTAACTAACAAAAAAATTGAGATCAAGCTGTCTGATTGGAGTTTTCACTTGAGAGAGTTAAACAAGGAAAAAAAGGTCAGGATATCCTTGCCAAAATTGAACGAGATGGATCAAAAAGTCTTCGAAATGCATACATCCTTTATTTATTTATTTGAATGAGAGACAACCTGCAAAGAAGGAAGAGACGTCTTCCTTTGCCTCCTTCCTCTTCCCCTTAGCTCGGCTCTCACCTGAAATCCTTTCGTCGACCTCCAGCAACCCGACATAGTTCCCTTCACCTCTCCTCCTTCGCCCGAATCCCGCATTTCCCATTGATTCCACTTCTTCCCCCATGCCTATACGCAGCGGCGGCCACCCCACGACTTGTCGCCGCCACGGCCGGATCCCGCCGCTTCATTTCGTCTCCGTATTTTTTTTTTTTTTTTTTTTTTTTTTTTTTTTTTTTTTTTTTTTTTTTTTTGACAGAATAGACTCCTTTGAGATAATTTAGACGAACTAAGGTAATAAATAAATTCGGAAAATAAAATTTTTATTTTTATAAAATATTTTAATATAAAAAATCATTTTTTAAAAGAATGTTGAGGACATAATTATTTTCAAATTAATTTGAATTAAGCTTATAATTAAGAAATATTTTAAATTTTAATTCTAAAAATATCACTTCTTAACATCAAAAAAAATTATCAAAAAATATACTAACCATCTAAATAAATTCAATCATTCTCCCGTCGTGCCCTATGGCACTGGAAATTATTTTATGTGGCCACGAGACGGTCCGGAGGCGACCAGAATGCAACATGTCACTCAGTACATAGCAAAAAAATGACGTGGTGCATCCCGATTCGCCTCCGAACGTCATCCAGTGATGGCATAGAATAATTTCTCCTATGGCACCCATCTTTCTCCCCTCCATTAGAAACTTGCTTGCCAACTCGTTTCTCTTCATTATTTTGACATGCGGTTGCCCTACCAATCGACATCACTTGATTCGAAACCTGAGCAAACCACTACGCACCAAATTTACCTCTCCCTCACTCGACTGCAGTCTCCTCGGCTTTTTTATCTCCGATCTCCTCTTCTTCGAGCAAACCGATCAAATAAATCACAAAGGATTTATTATCCTAAACCCTAAACCTCAAGCCATTTTCTTTTGTTGTTTTTATCATTCATAACATTGAATAGAAATCTAAAGATGTAACTTGTAAATTCTGCACTCATAACATTGAATGTTGTGAAGTATGTCAACATAAATGATAAAAATACAAACCTGAGCTTCAATATCAGCTGGATCCATTTCTTGAGGTGTAAAATTGTACCGTTGATATCGTCCAAGTGTTTTTGCTATGCTGCTACAATGAAATGAATGCCATCAACATTAGTATTTTTCTAAACTTGTGTACTGTTTTTTAAAGCAACTTTTCAGCTAATACAAAAATGTTTTGAGCTGGACGTTTTATGCTAGAAAGTTACTTTAGAAAAGCAGTAAGAATGCATTGATGCAATTGTATGTTGCACATAATTTTCTTTTGTCAATTTGATTAATTTATTTCTTAGCTATGAATTGATCGTCTTTAGCTTTTCTTCATGTCATCTTTCTCTTTCACGGCAAATTATTAGGTGCGGACATCGGACAGATAGAATCATTCGGATTCATATATGTCTATAGTAAAAGCGCAGTCAAAGCACAGTTACTGTAGCAACTGCACTTTTACTGTAAACAGAGAGAAAACTGGACGATTCTCTCCGTCCGGTATCCGCACCTAATAATTCCTCTTCCACACCATAATTGCATGCACTTGTCCTTCACCTACTTCGTATATTTTTGTTCAGCCCTCCCCATAATTTCCATGCATGGTTTAGAGGTTCATTATTGTTAACAAACTGAATATTTTCCTTGCTGATTACTGTTTCCCTAAGCTTGTTATATCAACCAAACAGTTCTATTTCAAGTAATGAAGTAGCAGTAAAGGTAAACAATAAAGTTTCAGCTTCATGAAACTGAGTTATCACATCTATCCATCTTGCATGAATTGAAAGTTCAGAAATAGCTGTGAATCTATTTGCAATGCATGGCTCAACTCAAAAGCCGGAATAAAGCACAGAAAAGCCTATTACGCGGTGTTGTTATAGATGCAAAAAGAAGAACAGAAAGACAAAACGTACAAAGAAGTGAGCATCGTACCCATTATAAATGCCGTTAACATTAGTATTTTTCTACATTAACTAACAGTATTATTAACTAACAAATAGTTTTTGAAATCTTGCTTAAGAACGACGAACCCTTTGAAACATTCATGAGCACGTTAAGGTTTCATTTATGACAACTTTCTAATTAATGCTTTTTAAAGCAGCTTTCTAGCAAGTAGACAAAATTTTCACTAGAAAGCAGCTTTAAAAAAAGTAGTATGAAAGTTATCACAAATATTATCCCAAATGAAACCTATATAAAGCCTAAGATGAGAATATTTCTATGTTGCAATTGAGATTTGAAAGATTTAAATATTTGACAAATGAGACAAAATTAACCATAATGAAATGATCCAACATTGAAGATCGATATTTAAACAAATAAACTTCTTACAGAGAATGATATTTCACATGCAACTCTTTCATTAATTTCTTAGGCTAAACTTTAAGGAGAAGGAGACATCAGTACTGTATAAACTATATATATCTTCGGATAAATATTAAGGTATTAAAAGTTGGTCCTAAACATCTATAATTAAGATTAAGTTTTCTTAATGCTTAATTAGCATTTTTGTAGTAAAAATCTTCACATTTAGAAAGTCCTATAATACATGCCTACGTAGGAATTTTGACAGTCTAACAAACTCGAGCGCAATTCCTGGTCGACATATCACAACATGCAAGTACAGTTCTCCATGAAACCTAGTGGAAAAATATTGAAAAGAAATAACAAGGACCCCATTATATCAAATTACTCTTTAAATTTTCAGAAATGGTTACGCTCTCAAATCAAAATTTTTTAAAAAAAAATCAGAGAGAGAGAGAGAGTATAATGCAATATTGATGTAATTGTATGTTGCACATAATTTTCTTTTGTCAATTTGATTAATTAATTTATTTCTTAGCTATGAATTGATCAATAACATAACATTACTCTTTATCTTTTCTTCTTGTCATCTCTCTCTTTCACGACAAATTATTAGCTAGGTGCAGACACCGGACAGAGAGAATCATTCGGATTCTCTCTGTCTATAGTAAAATCATAGTTACTGTAGCAGCTGCGTTTTGACTGCGCTTTTACTATAGACAGAGAAAAAATCGGACGTTTCTCTCCATCTGATATCCACACCTAATAATTCCTCTTCCACACCATGATTGCATGCACTTGTCCTTCACTTCGTATATTTTTCTTCAGCCCTTCCCCATAATTTCCATGCATGGTTTAGGTTCATTATTGTTAACAAACTAAATATTTTCCTTGCTGATTACTGCTCCCCTAAGCTTGTTATATTAACCAAACAGTTCTATTTCAAGTTATATGCACATAAAACTAAATCTGCAATGAATTTTGTATCTTCCTTATACACCTCTAGCTACTTAGTCTCATAATAATAATTTGATACACCAATTAATACTTTTGTGAACTTAATAAGTAATGAAGTAGCAGTAAAAGTAAGCAATAAAGCTTCAGCTTCATGAAACTGAGTTATCACATCTATCCATCTTGCATGAATTGAAAGTTCAGAAATAGCTGGGAATCTATTTACAATGCATGGCTCAACTCAAAAACCGGAATAAAGTACAGAAGCCTATTACGTGGTGTTGATATAGATGCAAAAAAGAAGAACAGAAAGACAACACGTACAAAGAAGCGAACATCGTACCCATTTTACCAGGAGAAAAGCCATTTGCTATTTACTTGTTTACTATAGCTTTAGCTGGTGCTATATATCTCACAGCTCACAGCTACATATGCTACGGTAATATTTTTCTTAGATGAGCTTAAGGCAAATTATATAAGATTAAAAGGCTAATTATTATAGATATTAAGACTAAGTAATTCAGCATAATTGTGCTTAACACAAATAATGCTGTCTTAGACAAATTTTAAGATTAAAGTTGATATCTCATTAAATGATTATATAAAGACATCTGAAACAAACAAAGGATTCGATCAAATTTGGATTGAACTGGAGTGGGGTCAAGGAATAGTTAGCTGGCTGGCTGGTTCTCTTATCTTTTCTGCATGGAGGTTTCTTGTACTTCAAACGAATATAACTTTTTTCTTTTGTGCTTGTATGGTGGAGTAGATTTCTTGCAAGATTCTTGTTGCAGAGTTATGCTCTTGAGTTCCAGAATCTTTTTTTTAAGAGGTAAGTTGGTCTCTGTACAAAGTAATATGTACTAATTTTGTATGCTGGCTCTATATATTAGTCATTTAGTTCTAAAACAATTGCATGCAATGGAAGTTACCACCTTATAAGAAAATAAAAAATAAATAAATTTATTTATTTATAAATAAAACATGAGAATATACAAGTTTATATCCTTTGTTTTACATGGTGTAGACATTTTTGTAATGTGTTTTCAGAATTGCTTGCTGATATGTTCAAAATCCTGGTTAAGCAATGGAAGCAGCAGAAAATTTTGAAGGGTTTCAGGAAATACTCTATCGCAGATCGATCAGAAGATGGAGCTAGTAAAATAAGAATAGGAGTAGCTCACTTAGACGGAAAAGAAGTAATGGACAGTTCCTTAAAAAAACTATTCAGAATCCAAAAAATTATATTTTCTGCTACGTACATGAAAATCAAATAGCACAAATCAGATAGGAACAAAATAACTGTTACAAAATTCTACCCTTCCCCTTAAAAATCTGACACTTTTTCACTTGATATTGGGAAGAATTTCATATTAGTTGCATCTGCTCAGATGGAAGCTTAAGACCTGTAAGCTCAAACTAAAGAAATATATTGCATGAAAAATGAAACCATGATAGGATAATGATAATTGGAGTACTTTTGCTTAGCTTTTAGAATGTGACATATTTATATGTATTGGTTTCAAATTTTGATCATATGAAAAGTAGCCATGTAATAGCCTATTGTCTCCTATTGTTGTTGGCATCTATAAATCAATAAATCTACACCTAAGAGAAACATCACAGTGTATGAATGATCAAGGACATTATCTTTATCTACATAGGAGTAGAAAAGGCTCATATGTTAAAATTGTTGAATTGAACTCCGATGAAGAAGTATATATTGGAAGCTTTTAGATTCACAATATTACTAAGGGAGTTAAAGGAGTGAAGTGAGTTTGACACCAAACTTACTGAGTTGAATTTGATAGACTTCATAAGGATGATAAAAATTTTGCATATATATTAGTTTTTCCAAGTATTTATAATTGAATTTTTATGAAACAAAATGGTGAAAATATTAAAGATATGCAAGTGATTATGAAAGTGCATTAGTCTTGAATATATATGCATGTTTTCATCACTATATGTTGATTCTAATGATTTATATGACTTGGAATGCAATGAATTGATGTAACCACTTCAAATCCCTTCGTAACACATTTAAGAAAAAAATAAGTTGCTCTAAAATGGACCAAAAAACTAATGGTAAAACTATTTTAGACATAAAAGTTAAGATGAAGCATATGAGAATTCGTGGTGGAGGTGGGGTCATAGGTCAAGGAGGTTAACAAGTCAAGTGAACATTGATAAAAATAATCTTACAAATAGGAGAGAGATCGAGGGTGATCAAGACATTGTTTTGGCAAAAGTTATAAAGCAATGTGAAATGCTGCAATGATAGCATGTATGGCCATTTTGCTTAAAAATGCTTAGTATTCCAACTGTTTAAGGAATTGAAAAGATAATGAAAGAAGAACACTTAATAATGAAATAAAATAGTATTTAATTATAGGAGTTTTTCATGGAGCTATCAAAAAACATGAATGATAATATTAACATAGGGTTTCCAAAATCATAATATATACATTGTGAAGGAATTATAAACTTTATCAAAAAGATGGAAAACTTTAATACATTTTTAATGAGAAATGAGGCCACTTCAAAAAAAAATTGTTTTTGCTTGCCATAATATCTATTTGAATATTGCATAAAGAAATTAGAGTTCTTCAAAGGTTTGTAATCCTCGCATCTTTTTTCACTGTTAATACAATTAGATTGGGAATAGTGACCTCTTGGGTTTGATGAAGAGGTGAGTGAGGTTATCAATATGAGAAAAATTAGGACCAATATTTAACAAAATATAATCAACAACAAGCATAGATAATTCTAATAAACTCCAGCAACCATGTGCATATTCTAATGTGAATAATCTTGTAGAGAATTTTGGTGGAGCACATT